TCAGGATTCCAAGCTCTATGCTCTAACCACTGGGCCGCTACTCCCACATAAATGGGAGTGGAGTCATTCAATCATTGAAATGATTGAATGACCCCTCTGTAACCATAAAGTGCTGAAAGAAGCCTGTTAACCATTCATAAAAAAAAGTCAAGTGTGTCGCAGCACAACTGAAAACACAAACAAAAGTGACACTTAAAAAACAGAATTGAGAATTACTGATTAAAACCATTTTATTGAAGTCCAGACTGATTAGGACCATTGTCCTGCTGGACAACAAACCTGAGTTCATGTCTGAGGTCTGCCCAGCCTCTAAAATGTTATACATATTGTCCTATTTTTTAGTGTTGCACCGATACCGATACCAGTATCGGACGGGGCCCCGATACTGCCCTAAAATGATGGTATCGGTATCAGCGAGTACCAACAAATAGGGCACCAATACCATTTTGAGAGCCATAATTTTATTCAACTATTGTCACCCACTCCTGGTAGGCAATAAAAAGTTCTACTTTTCTTCCTGCTTCACAAAGGTAAGCAAGCTTGACAAAGCCATGATGGCAATTATTCTACATTATTATGGTATTGGTATCGGCCGATACTGCACAGCCAGGTATCGGGTATCGGTATCGGGGCCAAAAAATGGCATCGGCGCAACACTACTATTTTTATCTCCATACGTTTTTACCATTACATCTGATTAGTTTTTTCTGATTTTGCAGATAAGATCCCCAGAGCATAACACTCCCACCACCGTGCCCCTGTGTAGAATGAAACCATGTAATATTTTCCTTCTCCTTGCAACTTTGTATTTATCTTTGAAATAAAAACAGATAAACACAAAGAAAGAGCACAAGGTTCAATATGTATGCATTTACATATAAAGGTGCACACTCTGCCAAGAGTCAGGGCTAAAAAGAATCTTACTCAGAGCCGGGCTGGGACTTTTCACGGCTTCATCTGTGAGAGAAAATACAGCAAGAGAAGCTGGTAATTGAATAAAATCATGAGCAATCACAGACACACATGAAGACTCACAGACAGACAAACAAAATGGGAACGATAACAAGACACAAGGGAGGTCACGGGCAACAGTGGGACTGGAAAAAAAATCGGAACAAATTAAACAATCTTTTGGGAGTAACAACACTCATTAAACAAGACAAGCTGTGAAGACAAGTCAGGAACACAAAGCAATGACAACGATGAGCAAAAAACACTGAGTTAATAACTAAATAAAATGCTGTTTATAAGGTTAAACAGAAAAAAACCCCAATAAAAATCCATAGTTAAGGAAGAAATTTTGTTTTTTTGTTTTATTCCAAAAGACAACAAATGGATATAGTGTATCAATAACCTATCAAAAATAACTGTGCTGGACCATCTTTACATAATGTTGTTTAACAACACTCTATAATATTCTACATGGCTTTTAGTGTCCATTTTTAACATGCAACTTGTATTCATTCATTCTTAAGTTCATAATTTCACTTGAAATGCTTAATTAAATTATATGCATTTACTCACACCAAAATCTTTTACCTATCATTGTTGTAAAACAATTCCCTTCCTGGAATTGATCCAATTTCCTGTCATGAAATGTTTTATCGCTACCCTTTCTCCCTGAAATTGCCTAGAAGACTAATTTTTGTCTTTATGAGAAGAATTCAGGAAAAGTCTGCATTGCTGATGTATTCAATCAGCTTTATTTTACTTTACAAGATCCATGTTATTTCTAAGGTTTTTTTTTTTTTCCCTTTGTCTTTAATGCAAATATAAAAACAAAATGTTGATTTTGTTTTAGTAGTTTAGATAGAAACTTTAGCAGGTTAAAGTTCATGTCCACATGGTCAATCAGTTCTGTGTTTAGTACTTTACTTGCATCCTGTGTGTAATTTCTTTATTGCAACCAAACCAAACTTTAGTTTTAAAATATGCTCTTCTTTTATGATGGACCAATTCATACTGGCTTGTTCAACTTTTTATTTTTTATTTTTTTGCCCACACTGAACACAAAAAGACAAGATATGAAATACAATTTTACCCGTTTCTGGTGTCTCTCTATGTGTTACAGCGGTAGCAGAGGTGCCACATCCCATGATGGTCAGCAGGAAGGTCCCAGGGTCACATATTCACTTCTTCCAAGCATAAAGGGGTTATATATACTTTGGATGGCAGCATCTAACCAAAGACATTATTAACTCAGACTTTTTCATCCTATGTAAAAAGCCTGCCAAAATCTGTTGCATAATATTAACTGTATTTGGTTAAAAAAGGTACGGAAGAAGATAAGGGTCACTGAAAAAAATTGTTAAAAATTTAACTGATTTTAAAATTTTATTTCAGTATGAGAAAAACGTTTTCCCGGAATTCTGACTTTTTTCTCAGAATTTCGACTTTAATCTCAGAATTCTGACAGCTAACAAACATGTTAGCATCAAGCTGTTGCCATGTCTGTTTAAGACTAAACCAGCTCTCTTTCCCTTCCTATCCCCTTCTGCCCTTCCATTAATTAAATAGCATTTTTGTGTTAATTAGCATCACGTAAAAAGTCGCCTAATTCCAACATTTTCCACCAATGTGTTACTGGCCCTCCCAAACAACTCACATCTTTGTCAGTGAAGCTGAGTGCTCCAACATCTCTTCCTTCATGGTGCCTATCTACATTAAGATCCAAAATTCTGAGATTAAAGTCAGAATTCTGAGAAAAAAAGTCAGAATTCTGAGATTAAAGACAGAATTCTGAGATTAAAGACAGAATTCTGAGATTAAAGACAGAATTCTGAGATTAAAGACAGAATTCTGAGATTAAAGACAGAATTCTGAGGAAAAAAAAGTCACAATTCTGAGAAAAAAAGTCACAATTCTGAGAAAAAAAAGTCACAATTCTGGGATTAAAGTCAATTCTGAGATAAAAGTCAGAATTGTGAGAAAAAAAGTCAATTCTGACAAAAAAAAAGTCACAATTCTGAGATTAAAGTCACAATTCTGACTTTATTCTTATATTATACTAAAATAACATTTTAAAATCAGTTAACTTTTCAGTGGCCTTAATCCTCTTCCGTAAAAAGGGGATAGAAATGTTTACTTTTTTCTTACTGGGCCACATCTTTACAAAATCTTGGCAACGCCTCAGATTTACGGATGAAATTAAGCGTGTAAATAATCGACGCTTGGTACGCTTCAGAAAAAGACAACAGAAAAGGTCTCTACGGAAATATTTGCATATCACATTTATACATTTATACAACCTCGTTTCGCTTCCAGTTGTTGAGTTCATTTAATCTTACCATAAACTTAAATCCTCTTGATCCTCCATGATGGGAGCGCATCATTTCATGCGTAAAAATAATGCGCGTCTAGTCTGCATGAGAAAGTCCAGTTATCGGTCCTCTGCAAATTTTGGGGTTGCATGTTCAGATGAAATAAAACATTTTCCAGGAGTCGCTGCGGATTAAAAAGGAGGTGCGGTCTGCATGGCCAGAGCTCAGGGCTGGAGGATGAGGCGGAAACAGCAGCAGGTTTTAACAATAAAAGCTCCTCATGTTGCTCCATATTTTAAAGGCATTGAACTCGCAAATCTGGGTCAAAATAACCTTTATTATTGCACTCTATGGAGAGCAGTTTCATCCAAATTAAAAACATGATAAATCAATGAATGTTGCTATGGTTATAAAACCTAAGTTTGACTTAAACTAAAATGACAAAAAATAAAGCAGATAAATGTTTAACCTAACCTAAATTAATCAGAGATTAAAGATTTAATTCCTTTGAGTTAAGCTATGCAATACAGATAAGGGCAATGGTTTATTAGATTTGTTTGACACTGTACTCTCAAATCAGTGTGAAATATAAATGAAAAACTTATGCTGCATAATTTCAAGGAATGCAATGAGATTGGTATATTGATAATCATGTTACTGTTTAAATGTTAAGGTAATATTTTTCTGATTCTGGAGCTATATCAGCTGGACTGCTCCAATAATCATTTATAGATGTTTGCGTGTAGTCCTGCTCCTCCATCCTCCAACTTTGGAACTCACCTGGCTGTGTGTTTTTCCTGGGCACACTGTGGAGCTAGTCAAGTTACCCCTGGCATCTCTGCTTCATTGCCCTCAAACCCAGAGAGCTGCTCATACCTAGTCTGGTTGTACTAGAGTTTTCTACCTGTTAAGGTAGAAACTTTTTCCTTCTCCACTGCCATGACATGCATGCTCGGTGTGAAAGATTACAAGTCTCATTCGTCTCTCCAGATCAGGGGTTTCCCCTCAAAGTTTGCAAATTAACGTCACCCACTGTTTTCAGGGCACGGCCAAGACAACCAGTTTATGAAATGACATGCAAATAAAAAGGTCACTGGTCAAATTAGGGAGGGAGCAGAGAAAGTTTCTCATGTTCTTATTCATTCCATTATTTAACATTCTCCAATGGGTTGAGCCCATTCCACAGATCTTGCTAAAAAGATTGGACTGTACATTTTGACACCTCGGTGTCTTTGCATCCTTCATAGTTCCACATCTCAGATCTTTTACAAAATTAGCATTACAAACATTTCTAGGATTAGCTTGAAAGATAAAGTGGAAGTAGAGTTTATTTCAAAACCCCTGCATTTTTGTTCAAAACAATTCACAACCGAAGTTAGTTGGCACAATTGCAAAGATCCTGAGTTCCCCAACTTGTCATGAGGGCCGTCATCTTGCTGCCTTTAACAAACCCGAATCGAAATGGTTGCTCATTACCAGCCCTCTGCAGAGAAACAACTCCAGCCATTTGATTCATGGATGTTGAAGAGATGGATCCAAGATTAACGAGATAACCTTACCCCAGTACTAGTCATACAGCCAGATACTGTAAGGTCACATTTTGTGCTCAATGATTTGTCATAGATTTAGTTGATCTGCCTAAACATACACAATCCTCACTTATTTGCACTTAAGATGGCAACAATTTGGACCATTATTTTAAAAGTTGATGCATCACATACCTGAATGGCAAGGCAGAAGCAGTAATTTAAAATACTTTTATTAATACATTTAAAACAGGGATTAGAGAGAGTCCAGTCCTTCATGCGGCGGCTCTTGAATGAATCCTCCTTTGTACAAGTGTTACAGCAGCATCAATCTCCTGCGAAGTGACGATTCCTAGTCTGTTCCTCTTTGACAGCCGAAACGCCTCTGAGCTCACCAGTCTAAGCAGTAGTGGTCTGGGGAACCGAAGCTGCCGACTGGCCAGGAAATCTAGATACTTTGCCCCTGCAGGATGAGCCTTTTGGGGGGAAATGTGTGAAAGACAAAAAGTTCAACAAAAAAAAAAAAGTTAGCCTGAGGAGTTTAAAAAAATGGTCTGTAAATGTAAAAATAGAAAAAAAAACTGACCTCTTTATGTATTTTGTAGATGAAATTCGAGTAAACCCGGACCCTCTTTTTTTCTGCAGGAATCCTGCGAGCTGTTCTAACAGGTGCCTTCATTTTACGCTCTTCAGTTAAAAAAAGAAAAGGTCTCAGACTAAAAGAAAACAAAGGAATTGGCAGTGCCCTTTTATGCAGCTATGACTGCGCTGGTGCTCTAAAGGAGGTTTTTAATCAACACAAATTGACTACAGCTTTGCTTAATCAGCTTCAATTACTTTTACCTACCTGGCTGTAAAGCCCACAGTGGGGGGTTAAGGTGCTCAGCAGGATAGAAAAACTTGCTCAAATAAAAACAGAAAAATGTGATCACATTGTTTAGAGCTTAGTTTGGCTTTATGATAGAATATATATATATATATATATATATATATATATATATATATATATTGTTTGTGTGTCTTTATGATTGTTAATACAGACAGTGAATCTGCCAATCACAGAACAGCAAGTCAATGCATTAAGGCATGTACAGGTGCTGGTCATAAAATTAGAATATCATGAAAAAGTAGATTGATTTCAGTAATTCCATTTAAAAAGTGAAACTTGTATATTATATTCATACATTACATACAAACTCATATATTTCAGATGTTTATTTTGTTTAATTTTGATGATTACAAATGACAACAAATGAAAATCTCAAATTCATCATATCAGAAAATTAGAATATTACTGAAGACCAATAAAAACAAAGAATTTATAGAAATGTTGGCCAACTGAAAAGTATGAACATGAAAAGTATGAGCATGTACAGCACTCAGTATTTAGTTGGGCCTCCTTTGGCCTGTATTACTGCAGCAATGCGGCGTGGCATGGAGTCGATCAGTCTGTGGCACTGCTCAGGTGTTATGATAGCCCAGGTTGCTCTAATAGTGGCTTTTAGCTCTTCTGAATTGTTGGGTCTGGTGTATTGCATCTTCTTCTTCACAATACCCCATAGATTTTCTATGGGGTTAAGGTCAGGAGAGTTTGCTGGCCAATTAAGAACAGGGATACCATGGTCCTTCAAGCAGGTACTGGTAGCTTTGGCACTGTGTGCAGGTGCCAAGTCCTGTTGGAAAATGAAATCTGCATCTCCAAAAAGTTGGTCAGCTGCAGGAAGCATGAAGTGCTCTAAAACTTCCTGGTATGTGGCTGCGTTGACCCTGGACCTCAGAAAACACAATGGACCAACACCAGCAGATGACATGGCACCCCAAACCATCACTGACTGTGGAAACTTTACACTGGACTTCAAGCAACGTGGATGAAGTGCCTCTCTTCTTTTCCTCCAGACTCTGGGACCTTGATTTCCAAAGGAAATGCAAAATTTACTTTCATCAGAGAACATGACTTTGGACCACTCACCAGCAGTCCAGTCCTGTTTCTCTTTAGCCCAGGCAAGACGCTTCTGACGCTGTCTGTGGTTCAAGAGTGGCTTGACACAAGGAATGCGACAGCAGAAACCCATGTCTTTCATACGTCTGTGTGTGGTGGTTCTTGAAGCACTCACTCCAGCTGCAGTCCACTCTTTGTGAATCTCCCCCACATTTTTGAATGGGTTTTGTTTCACAATCCTCTCCAGGGTGCGGTTATCTCTCTTGCTTGTACACTTTTTTCGACCACATCTTTTCCTTCCCTTCGCCTCTCTATTAATGTGCTTGGACACTGAGCTCTGTGAACAGCCAGCCTCTTTAGCGATGACCTTTTGTGTCTTGCCCTCCTTGTGTAGGTGTCGATGGTCGTCTTTTGGACAACTGTCAAGTCAGCAGTCTTCCCCATGATTGTGTAGCCTATAGAACTAGACTGAAAGACCATTTAAAGGCTTTTGCAGGTGGTTTGAGTTAATTAGCTGATTAGAGTGTGGCACCAGGGGCCATCAATTTTGAACCTTTTCACAATATTCTAATTTTCTGATATGATGAATTTGAGATTTTCATTTGTTGTCATTTGTAATCATCAAAATTAAACAAAATAAACATCTGAAATATATGAGTTTGTATGTAATGTATGAATATAATATACAAGTTTCACTTTTTAAATGGAATTACTGAAATCAATCTACTTTTTCATGATATTCTAATTTTATGACCAGCACCTGTATATTTGAAGAAGGCACATCATAGAGTTCATCCTGACCCTCCAGCCCTGTTTACTCTCTCTTTCCAACCAACAAACGCCACATACACATACACACATTTCATTGTTTTATTTCAATGCTCGTTTCTTCCATGTGTTTGTTGGATTACTGAACTGACCCTTCCAACTTCCCAATGACTTCTAGGGATTTTTAAGCCACTGATGGCCCTAATGGTGGTATGTTTCCAGCTGTAGGAGGGGCTTTATCAGATAAGGATGGCATTAGGTGAGGCCATTAGCATCCCGTGGATTACTGTAATCCACTCTCTTGTCCCGCTGCTCACTCATTTGTGGGTCCAGTCTGGTGTGGAAGCAGGTTGGAAGATGGCACTCAACATACGGGGTTCTTTGATGGCTCTGCTTCTTCTAGGAACTGACGGTACGTTTCAGTAACATCTAGTCAATGTTTACTCAGCTTCTGAGCTCACAACTTACACCTAAAGTTTTAGACCCTTAATTCAAGACTTTTTTCTAATGGTTTGAAAGTTTAATTTCTATTTTTAGTTTATTTGCTTTGTTTCAATTTTCTAATTCCAGTTTGTTTAACGGATTTTCTATAACTTGAGAAGACATTTGTCAATTTCCTTAACATGTTTTTGTTCTTTGTTTCCATCTGTCTCCTCTGCTCTTTTTTCTGACCATCTGGTTGGACAGTGCTCATCAGTATTCATGCTCAAGAGGTAATGAAACCCCTCAGCTCAACAAAAATATTAAAATTTATATCATTGCAAAAATTCAAGTGTACCAAATAGTTTTTTACCTTATAAATATAAAAAAAAAACCTTGATTGTTATGTTTTTAAAATGTAGTTGCTTTTGTTTCATACATATCCTTAAACCAGACCAGTTTTTCCGAGGCATCGACCAGCAAGTCCTGCAAATGTGGCTGTGATGGAGGCGAATCTCCAACAGAGTTTTCCATCATGGGGTCTGGCTCTATGGTGAGAGGAGTGGATTGCATGCCAGGTAATTATCTCAGCATAGATCATCATATATCTATTTTCCTTTCTGTCACGCAGTCTAATTCTTTCTTTAAAAAAGTAAAATTTTTAGTTAAGATGGACTCTAGCTTGTTTTATGAAAGCTAATAGTGGATTTTTTTCAAAAGGGGCACAAGATGTTATTTTTATACCAAATTGGGCAAACCAGAAAAACTCAGGCTTAGTTTTTAATCAAACCTGGATGACCAGATTCAGCTTTTCCAAAACAGAAACTATTCACAATGATGCCGTTTATTACTCTTAAAGCAATTATCTGCTATTAAAAAGAACGTCAAGGTGTAATCTTCTGAAAATTGAACTTTTGTGTTGAAAGTGGGCAAAAATTCAGCGTTAAAACCTCAGATTTCCACAAATGAATCAATATATTTGTTCACATGCAAGCTCTGACATTTAGAGAGACAATCAGTTGGGCAGGACAGCATTAGAGTCCAGATTTGACACCACGGGGTGGACATGCTTCACTGAGTATCCTCTGAGACGGTGATTTAGACGGAGCCTTGAACAGAAGAGAGGAGAATGAACAGGAAAAACAGTCATAAGAGTATCCCATGAGACCTTGATCTAAGGTTCAACTTCAGATTAAATCCAGGTGAAGTCGTTGGTTTCAGCTCCTGTGCAAATTTTCAGACACCAGGGAAGAACCCTAGTAATGACAGCCACAATGAGCCTGATCAGATTTAAATCCTGCCAGAATCGTAGAAGAGATGAACGATAATTACAAGTAATGCAAGTGAATAACCGAGTGTCATCTAAGCTTCAAATTGCATGCAAACCAGTGACAGACTAAAGACACACAAGTTCAGCAGATTATTATTACTTCAGACGATGAACCAGCTCCTATTAGCCTACGCTGATCACAGAATCACACAAACCCGTTATTAGTAAACCAAGGACTTGGCGTTGATGAATGATGAGCCTGAAGTCGACATTTTGCTCCCACCTGTTTCTCACCTACAGGCGCTTCTATTATTTTAACCATCTGAACATCCAGAATTTAGGAAAGGAGGATGACAGAGAAATTTGTATTATTGTTATGCAAATGCTTATCCCCTGACTCACTCAGAAGCGGCTGTGAACGTTGTAATGCTGGGATTACAATAGATGGATCCCTTCCCAGGACCTTTCAGGACGGTCTAAAAACAAAAGTAAACAGAGAAGCAGGCAGATACTTTCACCACAGGTCTTGTTTATATATACCAGCTGTCCATTTTCACCTCCATCTTTTAACCCACTGATCTAATTTTTGTGAATTTCCTTCATCCAGCTTTTAGAGAATGGAAACCCCATGCAGTGGTATGGGAGCAAAATAGAGCCCTGGAGAGTGGATTGCCATCTGTTTGCCTGACGTCCTAATGGACATCACTGATCTTTGTCTGTGAAAATGATAATCTGTTGGCTTTTAGGTTGAAATATAGTATTATAGTACTGAATTTCCTTTTGGGGATTAATAAAGTAATATTGAATTGAATTGAACTGAATTGAATATGGGTCATATTGAGGCTTCAAACAGTCGGGGGGCCTTTGGTGCTAAAGACTGTTAGGATATCAGCAGGGGTTAGGGCAAAATGGAGGGGATAGAGACTAAAAATCCAAAGAGGCTTTTATGATGACCATTTGCTGCTCAGATTTCAATGGCTTGTGTTCATTTTCTCTTTATGTTGGGTTTAAATTTTAAGATACATCATTTCACTCCAGGGAGGTCTTTTAGGACAAATGGTGAAAATGAAAGACAAGATTGAATAGTGAACCTGACTTTACCCACAGAGTGTCCGTATCATCGGCCTCTGGGATTTGAGGCAGGATCTGTGAGTGCAGACCAAGTCACCTGCTCCAACCAGGAGCAGTACACCGGCTGGTTCTCCTCATGGCTCCCAAGCAATGCCAGGCTCAACAGCCAAGGTTTCGGGTAGGTCAAAATAACCACTTTAAAATTTTAAGATTTGTTTTATCTAACATAAACAGTACAAACCTGCAGATTGTAATTATAAAAAGGCTTTTTGGATTTACTCAGGCTATTTGATTGTGTTTATATAGGGATAAATAAATACATTTCACATCACCTGTAGCTGCCTTGATCATCCCTAGAAGAGCATTTACTAATATAATAATGAGGACAGGTTAGCAGGCTCAAAGCTTTCAGATGGCTGCCCGACAGAAACTTCTGTAAAGCCACCTGCTGCCTCTTCTTTTGTTCTCTTTCTATGTTTTTGCCACACCTGAAAGCATCTTCAATATTAAACCCGCTCCTTCTTACTAGCTAACTATCCCGCTTAGTCCTGACTCCGTCCTTACTTCCCATCATCCGGAACTGATCGTGATGTTATTTATTGTTTTGTCCCTCTTTCTGGGCCCCCATGCCAATCTGGCCCTAAGAACATGCCTAGTTTGCCTTTGCATTAATCTGGGTCAGACTGATAGTGAAACTGTTGATATTAAGAATCTGATATAAATGCTGATGAAGATAGTCAGTCATCCAGGTCATAGTCGTTCCAATAAAATAAAGGTACCAACCACTGGACTTTGTTTTCCAAACTTGGAAAACAAAGTCCAGTGGTTTGTTTTTAACTTTTTCTTCTTTTTATCTGATGCAAAGTTCCACAAAATTTCTTCCCCTTTCTTTACCATATTGTGTTATTAATATATATATATACAATAGCATTTGAACAGCTTTTCTTTTTTTGTCTACTGAAAACAAAAGGATCAAAAACAGAAGGTTACTATTGGATAATTACATATAGTTGGAGGTTATGAAATTGAAAGGTGCAGAAACAACAGAAAACCTCAAAATCACATATATCATATATTCACATATATGAGGTATCTCTGTTTAACTTAGTTTAATAAACGCATCATTAGACTTTGTAGGGAGCCCCAATGGTTTAGTAGTTGACATCTCTGACCTGGGTTTGAATCCTGGTTGTGTCAGGAAGTGCTTTCGCTGTGAGCAAGTCAATGGAAGCAGCTGAAAGGACACAAACACATCATTAGACATGGTCGAGTTTAGCTTTGTTATTATTAAGCACATAGCATCTATCATGGCATCCATCACATAACAGCATGACAGTTATAGTTTTTTGGATTTTTGTTTTCCAAAAGTCATATTTCTGTTTCTCTTCCAAGGTGTGCATGGCTTTCCAAATTCCAGGACAACAGTCAGTGGCTCCAGATCGACCTGCAGGAGGTGATGGTTGTCTCAGGCATTCTCTCCCAGGGTCGCTGTGATGCTGAAGAGTGGGTCACCAAGTACAGTGTTCAGTACCGCACAGATGAGAAACTCAACTGGATTTATTACAAAGATCAAACTGGAAACAACAGGGTCAGTGGAGCTCAACAAAGGGGCGGTGGGAAGTCTAAGCAACATCTGTGTGATAATCAAACTAAAAGTTCATGTTTTAGGGAAACAGTTTGGGAAAAAAATTGACATTCGTCACTATTTGAAATGTGACAGAATAGAAAATTAAGATAATCTCTTATAGTTGTAAATATTTCTAAAACATAAAATAGCAGGTGACAAACTCACTATTTCCAGTGAGTATTTTATAAAATTTTAAAAATTTCTGCAACAATTAAATTCTGAATTTATTATTTTAAGTTTACAACACTCAAAAATCAAATACAGCTACATTTGCATTAACATTACCTTACCCTCCAGCAGTATTTACAGGTGCTGGTCATAAAATTAGAATATCATGAAAAAGTAGATTGATTTCAGTAATTCCATTTAAAAAGTGAAACTTGTATATTATATTCATACATTACATACAAACTCATATATTTCAGATGTTTATTTTGTTTAATTTTGATGATTACAAATGACAACAAATGAAAATCTCAAATTCATCATATCAGAAAATTAGAATATTGTGAAAAGGTTCAAAATTGATGGCCCCTGGTGCCACACTCTAATCAGCTAATTAACTCAAACCACCTGCAAAAGCCTTTAAATGGTCTTTCAGTCTAGTTCTATAGGCTACACAATCATTGGGAAGACTGCTGACTTGACAGTTGTCCAAAAGACGACCATCGACACCTTGCACAAGGAGGGCAAGACACAAAAGGTCATCGCTAAAGAGGCTGGCTGTTCACAGAGCTCAGTGTCCAAGCACATTAATAGAGAGGCGAAGGGAAGGAAAAGATGTGGTCGAAAAAAGTGTACAAGCAAGAGAGATAACCGCACCCTGGAGAGGATTGTGAAACAAAACCCCTTCAAAAATGTGGGGGAGATTCACAAAGAGTGGACTGCAGCTGGAGTGAGTGCTTCAAGAACCACCACACACAGACGTATGGAAGACATGGGTTTTTGCTGTCGCATTCCTTGTGTCAAGCCACTCTTGAACCACAGACAGCGTCAGAAGCGTCTTGCCTGGGCTAAAGAGAAACAGGACTGGACTGCTGGTGAGTGGTCCAAAGTCATGTTCTCTGATGAAAGTAAATTTTGCATTTCCTTTGGAAATCAAGGTCCCAGAGTCTGGAGGAAAAGAAGAGAGGCACTTCATCCACGTTGCTTGAAGTCCAGTGTAAAGTTTCCACAGTCAGTGATGGTTTGGGGTGCCATGTCATCTGCTGGTGTTGGTCCATTGTGTTTTCTGAGGTCCAGGGTCAACGCAGCCACATACCAGGAAGTTTTAGAGCACTTCATGCTTCCTGCAGCTGACCAACTTTTTGGAGATGCAGATTTCATTTTCCAACAGGACTTGGCACCTGCACACAGTGCCAAAGCTACCAGTACCTGGTTGAAGGACCATGGTATCCCTGTTCTTAATTGGCCAGCAAACTCTCCTGACCTTAACCCCATAGAAAATCTATGGGGTATTGTGAAGAAGAAGATGCAATACACCAGACCCAACAATTCAGAAGAGCTAAAAGCCACTATTAGAGCAACCTGGGCTATCATAACACCTGAGCAGTGCCACAGACTGATCGACTCCATGCCACGCCGCATTGCTGCAGTAATACAGGCCAAAGGAGGCCCAACTAAATACTGAGTGCTGTACATGCTCATACTTTTCATGTTCATACTTTTCAGTTGGCCAACATTTCTATAAATCCTTTGTTTTTATTGGTCTTCAGTAATATTCTAATTTTCTGATATGATGAATTTGAGATTTTCATTTGTTGTCATTTGTAATCATCAAAATTAAACAAAATAAACATCTGAAATATATGAGTTTCTATGTAATGTATGAATATAATATACAAGTTTCACTTTTTAAATGGAATTACTGAAATCAATCTACTTTTTCATGATATTCTAATTTTATGACCAGCACCTGTAGATTTGTAGTGAGATTTTGTTTGCTGACATCTTAAAATCTGAGAGAAAACCTCTCAAGGAAGCTTAAGATTAGGGTGATGGTAGAGAGGACTTCCAGCCTCAGAGTTGGAACTCATCACTGATGCAAACTCCCCAAACTACCTGCGGAGATATTTAGCAGCTTGAAGAAGTGTTTCATTGCTGCAAAATTAAGAAAAGATTAGGTCACAGATTATTGAGAATAATATAAACCATATTTGACATTACATTTTTTCTCCTCCTTTAACATTGTTATATTATCTCTAAAAGATGCCAGAAAATTAAAACTTTTGGTTGAGTTAGAAAAAGTTTTTATAAAAACCTGCTAGAAGTATTAGTAATTTTATTTATTTATTTGTTATTTATTTAACTGTAAAAACAGACACATTAAGCAAAATAAAAATAAAAAAAAATCCTAAGGAGAGTATTAAAAGAGCTTACTACCAAACTCAGAAACATCCTTTTTCATATTCAGCTGTAATTATAATAGGAACAACAGTTGTTTTAAAGAACTGTTTTTGATATTTTATAATCAGTAATATTGACTTTAAAACAAAATATAATGCAAAAAGTTTTTAAAATGTAAATTCACCGCAGAGTGGTGACACAAATGTGTATTCTGTTTTGCATCTTATAATTAATATAAGCTATCTACTCTTTTATAAATAGTTTAGGTTGGGATAATTTTTCTCAAATGAACAGCTAAATTACGATGGCTGGTCATACACTGCAAAACATCTAAAAATAAGTAGAAATTTCTTAAAATAAGTCTACTCACTCCTAATTTGAGTAGGTAAATAAGATGATATGCCAATGGAATTTAATTAGGATAATTAGATCATATGTACTTGAAATTAAACAATACAGTTGTTTTTTCTTGTGTCAAATGTAAATGGTCTTATTCCATTGGTAAAGGTTCTCACTTTCCTGCTTAATTCAAGAAAAAAATCTTTTATTTAAAAAAAATTTGACTTAATTAGATTTCAGTTTTTTTGCAGTGTACCTGTGACAGTTTTGGGCTTTCTGACAAGCAATTAGCTTTCCATGGCTCAGAAGATGTATTATTATTTAGACATTTGATATGATATGACATCTCTCTATGAAAGCTAGGGAGGCAATAACTGATGGTAATAAGACCTTCACTTAAGAAAAAAGGAAGTATCCCTTTAATCACGGCATCTTCTGTTTTTCTTCAGGTTTTTTATGGAAACTCTGACCGCTCTTCATCCGTCCAGAACCTCCTGCGGCCACCCATTGTAGCACGTTACATCCGCATTCTCCCTCTGGGATGGCACACTCGCATTGCTCTGCGCCTGGAATTGCTGCTGTGCATGAAGAAATGCATGTGAACCCTGAAACCCTCTGAAGCATTGTCCCAAACCCTGTGTGGTGTTTGATCATGTATTCATCCCCTGAAAAGCAAATCGACCCAGAAATATTCACAACCCCGAGCGTTGTTACACCCAACATGCTTCCATGAAAACAGCTCTGTTTGATATGTATGATAAGCTTTCATTTAGCCCGCTCCACATTGTCTCCCACTGGGCCTCTATTTTCAAGAGTTCTCAATTGGTGGCTCAGTTTGCAGTGAAATGGCATAAATTCAAAGCAATAATTAGTGGTTGAGCAGAAGAGGCAGCGTTGCTATGAGCGCTTTGTTGCCACAGGTTTTTGCTGTTATGTGACAAGTTTTTCCAGCCTCACTGAACTAGACAGACATTACATTAAAAATTGACTCATATTATGATTTACATTTATAGGTGTCACATAAATGCAACAAACAATAGAACTAGCTTTTTAACAACAACTTTTCTGAAGTTAGAGCCAGTCTGATGGTATTTTATTCCCTGTAAAAGTCAGAAGCAACAGGTATCCTCATGCATTGCTCTTGTCTTTAATTAGAGACAGTTAATATGTTTTAAAAATAATTATGATCTTTCATAATGTCACATGAATCTCAGGGTAGCAAATTTTTTTTTTGTTCTTTATTTTTTAACTCTTGTTTTTCAGATAATTCTAAGAGGAATTTTCTAATACATGGGTCATACCAAGAACCCACTTTACTCCCTGTTTCACTTAGCAAAACTGCCTTTTCTTCGCATAGGAGGAGGGGGTGCAACTTGTAACAATTATCAGTAAGAAACTATGTTCACTTTTGAATATTTGTAAAGAAGAAACGCAAAAATTGTTTTGGAAGAGAGATCTTAGGTGTAAAAAAAAAAGGTTATTTACAAAAACTGAATACGTCTTCAGATCAATTCTACACTTTTGCAATTGGTCTTTAAGCCTATTGCGCAACGGCCACCATCTTTTTCCAAAATGAGTTCCATCAACTCAAATATGTTGACTGCCACTGCTTCCCGCTACGGATATAGTAATATTCATGATTTAAACTATATTTTATTACTATATATTTGAAAAGCAATACTAAAAAAAGGTATCATTTGTCTGAATTTCCTATTAATCCCTATTAAGACTTTGTATGCAAACAGAAACATGTTATGGATCTATATATTTCAAAAAAACTGGGGAGCTTTCTCTTTAAAAACCTGTTTTTCTTTGTTTTTTAGGTGTTTCCTTTGTATAGTTCAGCTAGTTTCAGTACTGTCATGTCATGTTTGTGATGAAAAGTCTTCTTCCTTTAATTCACTGTGATATTCCAGTTGAGTGTATAATGGTGCTTTGAGATGAGCTGTTAAGTGGAAGATTTGTTGTTTAACATATCTTAAATTCTTTTCCTTGATCAAATCGACACGAGTGTTTTGTGTGTTTTTATATTGAGGTCATGTTTGTGAAACAAAACATAGGAGTCATTAAAAAATGTACAGTTGGTATTTATTATGAGACCCTATGATATTTTAATTAGAATGATCAGTATAGATACGCTCTATTATTTATTTACACCCTGTCAAAGGTGGAAAATAGCGGATGGAAGAAAACATAATCGAAAATGAAATATGTTTTATGAAACACATTCATATTTAGGGAACAAAAAGTCATCTTCCCATTTGTGAGCGACTTAATGACTGAAGCCTTTTTTTAGCAGAGCTGCTAATTTAGTGAGCTAAGTATAAGGCTTCGGGTCCCTGGAAAGGCAAGCTTTTTCATCCCTCTGTCTACCATGGATATAAACAAACCTACATCAGCAGTCATTTACAATCATTTGCATTAAGAGTTTGCCCTAATACACTACTTTATGGGGCAGTTTTACTCTGTTTACTTTAAGCCATGTTCAGGGTGAGACAGTGACATTGAGGTAAATACAGCAGAATGATATATGTTCTTCACCTCCTTTCCTCATAATACATAGGAAGTCCTCTGTGCTCTCATTTAATATCCATATGTGACCAAGCTACATTACTTTGACATTCTTCCTTGATGTAATTTCATTTAGTCAACCAAAGTCAAACGGTTCAAACTGAAGCTACTTTCTAGTCAACACCAACCTTGTTCTCTTCCATTGTTTAAAAAATGTTTTATGGTTTCTTAAACCATAAAGGAGGAAGGACTGAGAAATAACATATAAGACTGGTGGAAACATATCACCCTAACTACATCCTGGCCTAAAATAGCATTTTTTTTTCATCATCGATGTCATAACAATCAAGTTCATCCCTGATCATGACTGCTGATGTCAAAATTAATGTAAACAGGGGAATAAAAATTCAGATGTAAAAAAATTGTTTACAAAAGAGGCATTTACAAAAAGATGATGGCACAGGCTTCAAAATGCACACAGAGGATGTAAACATATATAATAGAATAAGTCTGGGATTAGTTTCTATAACCAGTGTTGATGGAATAAATAAAAAAAAACAACAGATATTTTATTCCTGACTGGAATACCCTAGTTGGGATTGAATCGTCTCAAATAAATATTTGTTAAAATAAAAATATTAAACTTTTCTTTTTTTAGATGCAATTTCTTTCCTGCCATGATCCAGATGTCAAAACTATAATTATTATGACTGTTAGCTATTAATGAAATAATTACTAAAATTAAATAATTATAAGGATTCATTTAATTCAGATTAGATTCTGGATGTCTTGAATTAAATGTAGTTAAGTTTGTTTTGGTAATGGAGTTTTGACTCTTTAGAAAACCATTGGATATGACTGCTTATATAAAACTAAACCCAAACTTATCCTGAAAGCTCTTCATAGCTTGAAGTGAGGTATGCCTTTTTGAACCAATCTCCAGAGTTGTACGTCCCGTGTTCTCAGTGTAGAGGTTAACATAAGCTTAGATGCTTATTGCATCATGGAAAGGTTGTAGCCAAACTGCAAATGGCAGAATAAAGCTGGAGCGATATTTGCTGATACAGAGAATTGGACTAAATTTATATATATATAAAAAAAGTGTGTTGGGTATTGTTAAAAAATTTGGCTATAAATCATTGAAACAGAATTTTCCACCTTCGGTTTGATACAGAACAGGTGCAACTTCATCTGTTAGAGAGAAAAATATAAAAGGTCAGGCAGCTCGCATATGTAAAAGTTATCTCTGGGGGGTTATTATAATTTGCACATAGATGTGTGTTCAAGCTTATTTGTTTATTTTGTACGTCTCTGTATAGCCACTGTGATGCACTAGCAACTTAGGATATACCAGCAGTCTCTTGCCCAATGACTTCCAGCATAGCCTCCAACCCATCTTTCCCTGAATGAATATGGTGATATTGGGAAAAATAAACAATGAAATTATAAAATGACAATTGATAATTTGTTATTGGCTAAACTTGAGCTTTCAGTGCAAAGTTTCATATGATATTTGTCATTAATATGTCATTAAAATACCATATTCATAGTAAAAGAGGCTGTTGCTAGTATATTTGACGTACTTTTCTTCAGCTAGAACAAGGAGCTTAGTTCTGCCTTGCTTCCAGTTCCAAACACCAGTCAGATAAAGTGTTTTAAGCTTCAGTGTTTTCTAAAATAAACCCCAAAAATAACTAAAGAAATTTGAATTTGGATCTAAAATTCCAGCTTAACAGGAAAAGTAAGACTTCGTTAAAAAGGACCTCACAAATCTGTTGGAGAATGTGTGACATCATTCAGAGAAGATTGTGGACAATTGATGCCCCCCCCACATTGCCTTTGACTGCTACCAAAGGCAAACTTCTGGAAGGTGCATTAATTTAGAAGGAATCTAATTACACCAAAAATTAGAAAACCAGTTTTTGTAGCTTTTTTCATTTTTCCCTGTAACAGAGTATAATGCTTCTCCTTTTAACTGTTGATGGAAACCTCTATTAGACGACCATAGTACTTTTTTTTCATGACACTATTCTTAAATGGAGGTGAAATAGTTTTACAATGACTTATTATGGCTAAAGATGGACTTTTCTTTTTATCTAGGGTGATCAAACCTTTGATCCTCTAATTCCAGTGTATTTATAGCACAAAGCCGAGCTGTCACCCTGGGATGATCTGCTGACAAACAATGCCTACAAAAATCTCTAATTATCCGACAACTTCATAACTAATGCCATGAAGGTGACAAACATTTCTGTCTTACATTTTGTGTCAGAGATGCGTAGCTTTTCAGTAGTATTTCTATGCTTTTTCTTTTTTACAATTTGATGAAATAACAAAAGTGGGTAAAAATAGGATAACAAAGTATGTTAACCTCATCATATTAAACATAAACACCATTCACCGTTCACCATTATTAAATATTCTTTTTGACAATATTATGAACACATAAATATCTATTGATTTCTCTGTGTCGAAACTAAAGCTCTTGCAATTACACATTTAATTCTATTTTTTTATATATAATATTCCCATATCACCTACATACTGTGTCATTTATAGCTTATATCCGTGAATTTAAAACAAATAAATATTTAATAAATAATATCGATATAAATATTTCTCTGTTTTTTTTTGTTATCAAATATCAGTGCTTGAAAAAAACCTTTGAGTTTAATGGCCACCCCTGCGACTGCATCATCTAAATTGTTGCAGTGGTGTCCAGTAAGCAGAAGATGGCAGCAGAGAGGCCACACAGGCAGTGTCTCCTTGACAGGAAAGTTCTGCTTGTTCTCATGTGAGCAGATAAACTGATGTGGGGCTGACATCCTGAGAAGGTGCGAGGACCTCCATGTCTTTACATCACCAAACTACACATCACTAATGCTTGTCCTGTCAGTGTCTGGTCTTTGCAGATTTCAAAGACAGGAGAATCAACAGATAAGTATATTTCTGATAGAGAACATGTGAGCTCCATTGTCTACTTTTACTATGGTACCGTTATGACAACGGCCAGGTTCCAAAGATAGAGTCACGTCAAAAAAGGGTGTTACAGGGCTGTCTCCTTTAGGTCGTTGAGATTTGGAATCCTGGTACGAGATGCCCGAGTAAAAGTAGGTCCGTTTTGACCTGGTTTGATGCCCAGTTGTTCTGGAGTGAACTGAGCGCCTTCCACTCGCTGTAAAGCTGACACGTGCCAGCTTGACTCGATCTGTCCTGGTAGGGTGTAGCTGGGCTTGCGGTTCTTTGCCTGGCCCGAGCTGCTCACCCCTGAATGCCCCCTGCTCTCTGTGTGCCCTCGACCATCTGGGTAGCCGGCTTTGGAGGAGGGCTGAGGTGGGTTGGGGAGGGGGGCTTGGAAGCGCAGGTCAGGAGGAGGTGGAGGAAGAGTCTGCCCTTGGTTTGACGGAGACGGGGACAGATGAAGGAGTCGACGAAGTGACTTAAGTGGCTGGCTCTGGTGATAAGAAAAAAGTTACAATAGACACTGTGACTTGATTTTAAAATGCTGATCAACAAATTTGTAAAAGAACAAACGCAAAAACCTAACATTATGAAATTATTTGAGAGATGATGCAGATTTTGTCTGTACATTTTGAGACAGTGTACATTAAAATATTTGCCTCTAACATGCATCTTGAGATCTGCAAACAAATTTAAAATCAGACAACCTAAGGACAAATAAAAGGAGGAAAAAATTCTTAAAATCCAGAGGAATTTTTATTTGGTTTTCTTTCTAGAATTATTAGATTTTTGGAGTCTGCCTTTTTTAGGATTATGTCACAGCATATCAAAAGTTAAGTCTGACAAGGACTTGGAATAAAACACACTGTTTCTCTTGAAGTGTGCTTTAGGTTAAAGTTTTAAACCAAACTCCTCACAGTGTCCTTCAGAAGCTTTTGATGGAGGAGCAGAACTAATGACTCATTGAATGACAGCAACTTCTCAAGGTTCTGAACCAGCAGAGAAACTTCCAACCATCATGTTTGACTGTTTTTATGATTTTTTCCACCTATCTCATATGATGTATTAGTTTTACACCAGATGTAACAGGGTGAAAAAATGCAAGCAATTTCAGCTTGAATATATTTTGGAGGATATTTTGATGATGAGGTCACTTACCTGAGAATGGGTGTCCACCTGCTTGTCTGGTTGCCAGTCATTGATCCTTTCTCTTTCCCTCCCTCTCTCCCTCTCTCTCTCCCTCTCTCTCTTGTTTTCTCTCTCCCGCTCTCTGTCTCTCTCCCTGTCCCGCTCTCTGTCTCTGCTCTGTTCCCGGTCTCTGTCCCTCGATCGTTCTCGGTTTTTCCGTCTGCTGCTGTGGTGAGAGGATGACTTGGAGCTCCTCTGAAGGGAAAGGTGTTCTTGCCCATTTCCAGTTACCTGGAAGGTACGGAAGAAAGTAGTGGTAAAAAATGGGTATAAACTTTGCACTTTTGCATTGGTTCAGCTTGTTTTAAACTTAGTGGAATGTGGCCCACAGTTTTGTGAGGTTTAACATGCACCCTTGTAGCTGACAAAAAGCAAACAGGTGAAGATGATGAGAATAAGCGGTGAACTTAAGCTTTGTCAAGAGCAGAAGCTTCTTTAACTTATTTAAAATTACTTTTAATTTCATAAGCTGAACTTTCTGCTCTTTGTTTCTCCGCGGTACCAACAGCAAGGAATTCGTTCAAACCACAAATTCATCTTGTGAAGAGATTTAAGGACACATTTAAGGGGCTACTAACCCTTGAAAAAGGCGTAAAACCCTTTTAATAATAGATTTTTTATTGGTTATGGGAGATCATGTCAGAAGACATTGAAAGTCCTTAAAGTCCACCAATTTAGCAGTGTCTCAAAGAATATAAAACAAAGTAAAAATAATGCTCTCTGTTCTAAACTTGGGTTACATTTTTTACCCTCTTAATACATAACAAGGTTTTGTACAACATTTAAGTTTGAAAGCATGATGTAGAAAAAAATCTAAATACATGACTGTCAGGAGCAGTACCCTGAAGCATTGGTGCTTAAAGGTAGAGGATGATCTTTTATTTCCGGGTGGATCATCTAAATAAGTGGTCCTCCTAATTGTCAATCATTCTGGTGATATTTTTACGTAAGGCCGTCCTATGTGATCGTCCCGTTAGCTATCTTTTTATGCTCATGCGCTCTTTCAGGTGTATATCTTTGGTGAGCTACGGTTTCAGACAGTCATTGAAGCTCATCTCTTTCACCGCGGTTCTTTGAAAATGGCAGAGGGTCGTAAGAGAAAAGGTGTCTACGGAGTGTATGAGAAGAAAAGAAAGGCCTCAGAAGAGGCAGATTTATCCCAGAATGCTTTGCGCGTTGATCTCTCCTTGCAAATATTACATAATATTATAATACATATTCCTTTTCAAAAAAATTTACAAAGAAATTATTTTCAAAGGTATAGAGAAGCATTGTAGAAAGTTTTGTTTGTGTTTTTTGTTTTGATTATTTGTATATATGTATGAAAGTATATGTGTATATATATTTATGTATGTATATGTGTAGGTAGGTATGTATTTATATGGATATATATATACCAACATAATTATAAATATTGTAAATTAAAGAAATATAAGATTTAAGGGGGTAGGAGCACATAAGTTTTATTTCTTCCTACTCCTTTTTGCACATTTAATAGAGGTAAATTAACTAAGGAAAGAAGGGTACCTTGTTTGTTGTTTTTCTCTCCAATGTTTTTAAACATTCGTTTATTGTTTTTTTGTTTTTCTCTTGCATGTTCGAAATAAAGATACCAATCCAAATCCAATCCAAATCATATTGGGATTTCCTCTCACAGCAGCCCGCTGTTGCCATAGGCTACCCGACAGCGGAAACTAATAACAAAGGTGGCGCAGGTTCTGTGCGGAGAACCAATGGGAAAGTGATAATCTTTCTGAACTTAGTTCACTATAAAGTCCCCGTGCTATATGGTGATTGAGGGATTTAGGGGTTAGGGCGACCTTCGGACACAATAAACTTGTATGAGCTTTGAGAACTGCAACTTTTAAAGAGAGCGGGCACAAGGAGAAATGGGCTCCTGCATGCTCTCGCAAGCACATTTTTTTTAACAAGTGGTGGGCGGGTCTTCTAAAAAATTCAAGAAAATCCTCCACAATACCTTTAAAACAACAATCTTTTAGGTTATGCTTTAACTGCATTTTAAGGTTAAAATAATGGCATGGTCCCAAAAAGAGACCAGCCAGAAAGAGAATACTCATTGTTCTGTTAGTTTTTGAGTTTGCTTATATTTGAACTCTAGCCACTAAGAAAATGTACTAATAGTGCTTAAAAGATGAATGTTCTTTAGGAAAAAAGAAACACTTCTATTCAGTCTATCTGTCAATGTTTACAAATACTCTGAATTAAAGGTAGGATTTAATCAAATCATTTGCTACATTTGTCAGATGCCACCTATGTGCAATTAGAACAACAGTTGGATTGTGATGAAGTTAGTTGGAGAATCTCTTGATAGGTCAATTACTTCACACATCTGGTCTTTCTGCCACTTTTATCAAGTGGCAGAAAACAGACAGTGTTGGAACACGCCCATTTGAGTCCAGTTTGAAGTTTGCCACAAAAATGTAAAGCAACAAACTTGCTCAAGGAAGGTGCTTTGGTCAAATGAGACAAAACCGAAATGCAGGATTACCCCAACCTCTTAATTATTCCCTAACGTTTCTGCTTGCCACTGAACCAATTTTCTCAAAAAATAACAGAAAAGTCATGCAATTATTATTGATATATATATATTTTTGTAAATGTCTTTCTAGCATATGTTTGACTGAAAGTAAAAAGGGCATTTACATTACATTCACTCAAACTGACGAAACTAATTTACAAAGAAAGAGCAACGATCTGCGTGTCTTATCAACAAATGTCCATGACCATCATGATAAAATGAACTCAAAGTGTGAGCTTCACAAACAGGATGCACCGCAGCATGAATAAATGTGACGGCTTTTTAACATTCATATTAGCAGGACAAATGAATGCACAAAAAAAGCTTACAGCTTTAGCTTGCAAAGAAATTTGAAATCTTCTCAAACTAAAGCATAATGTAGAATTTGAGAGTTTTGAGAAAGATTTCAAAGCTTGTAATTGTGGTTAGAGCCGTGCCGGTTAACATGCATCTGTAGAGTTAAAGTTAAGATTACTGGTGAGGCAGGGTAGGGTGCCGGAGACTGATGTTGAACCATAGGGGAGGCAACTACAGGAAGGATTTTTCCAGCTGAGTTGTGCTTTAAGCTATTCTTAGAGCTAAAAAGAGGAAAAAGGCTTTTCTTGATGCTTGGATTCCTTCCATCCTCCACGTCTGTCTGTGGAGGAGAAGATGCACAACCACAACTTTCAACACAAATTTCTGGTAGCAAATAGACAAATAAATATGTAAAAAAAAACAAAAAAAAACAGCAAAAACAGCAGCTAAGCCACAATCGCCTAACAGACATTAAAAGACTTAATAAAGGGTTATTCTGAGTCATTTTATTTATTGTTTCAAAGTATTTTTGATTTTGTGTTTTCTTGTCCATTAACAGGAAATTGTCATTATACATTATCATTATAAATGTCATAATGTATAATTGTCATTATACAATTATACATTATGGGAGAATACACAACAAATGAAAACGTGCACATTTAACAGACAGCTAATCCATTCTCACAACTAAAAGCCAGAGTGTTTCAGTGTGGAACAGCTTTTCTACAACTGTCTGATTATCCGAGTGCTTGTAGTGATTGCTTTTCATTAAGTTCTCCAGTTTTCAACCCGTGCAGTCTACTATTATCATTATGACTAAGAATGATTGCAGGCAATATACCATTTTGTAGTAAATCAGAATGACCCTTTCAGACTCTCGGTGATTAATTTCACTTTTCACTCTAACAGGAATTGCACATACACAGCAATGATGACTGCCATCACTTTTAACGAGCTTGAATATCCTAAAATCATCTCCATGAAAATTGTTGAGTTTTTCTTTTATGAAATGAGTGTTTTAGTCCTTACTATTTGCGTCTTCTTCTTTTTCTTTTTAATGGCTTTGAAAAAGCCTTGTTTTTGCTTCTCTTTGGTGGGCTCCGGAGGATTCATGACCATCGCTTCTGCAGTGGTCCTGCAGAGCAAACATGGAAAAGGGTTTTGTAATTATAGAGTTTGGAATAAAACCACAAGTTTATCTGTGCCAGTAAAACACCAATATTTAAGAAAAAAAACAACAAAAATGAAAGCACAGAAAACTATGCCATAGTTTTCTTTATTTTTAAGTGCTGTGTTGTATGGCAATCTAGAATGCAAGTTTCTAAAAACTAAGATCAAAGTAAGTAAAAGTGCAAAAAATCCCACTCAGATTAAAAAGTCTCATAGATCCTAAAAAATTGTGACAGCAGATAGAAAAGAAAAGCATCCCCACTGAATTAGCTTCATGATTGAAACCAACATTTCTAGCAGCTTATGCAGGGAAAACATGCAAAGTCATATCTCTCCTTTTTCAGGGTTTATTTTAACATGACATTGTCAATGGATGAATTCCTACCAATCAAAAGCCGTCTGGCGTTTGGAGTGGTTCGTCATGCCACCTGGATCACCAGCGACAACAGGTACCCCTGGCCCTCTGCCCTGACCAACACCTTCGTGGAAAGAAGAGGAGTTATCCGGTCTGGGGGAGGGGACTGAAGAAAAACAAGGAGGGAAGAAATTGACTGACAGTGTGTGTTTTCACCGTTAAAATGAGGGGTGTTTGTTTTTTTAAAGAAAGGGTAAACTGGGGCGTTAAATGTTCTATAAGACCAATTTGAGAAATTTGAAGAAAAAAAAGTAGCGTGACTGGAAATATTTTAGCTTCTAGTTTTCCATCTACCCTTTTTGCAATGCTAAATAGAATCTTAAGGGATATGTCTTGATAAATAATAAAAATAACTGAAATCAGCTGAGCTGTAAAAACCCAGTATTGGTTTACTGACTAAACAGTCAGTGCTAACTCAAATATTTCTCTTTCAAATAGCATTTTGAGAAATTCTACACATTTGTAATCTTTTCCTCTTTTTATTAGCTACAAGCATCCTGATAGAGGCTTTCACTACACTTTTAAAACAATTATGTGTAAGAGTAGCTAATCTAACAGGACAAGTAAGCTAAAAGCCTTTTTAGTCTTAAAATGTGTAAAATTATTTCCATTTTGTTCCTTAATAGTTCTTTAGGAAAAAGAGCAATTTGATGACCACTGTGGAATTTAACTATGGGCTTTCTTGTTTTTTTATCCTTGATTATAATATTTGACTGTGGCAATGAAGTACTAATGTTGATCTGTCAATAAATAAATCAAATTTAATTTGTTGCTATAGCTGCTAGGTGGAGCTTTTGCTCAAAGCTTCTGTGCCTGTTGCATCCAGGTCACTCTTTTCTGCATCAAGGTCCCTCTCTTCTAGGGCTGAAACAATTCATCGGAGTAATCGTGATTTATTGATTGTTGAAACAATCATCAACTAATTTAGTAATCGATTAATCATTAACTGGAGAATAGATACTGTAAAACATGCCTTTAGCTGACAGAGCGACCCACTTAGAGAAGTAATTATATCAAAATTGTAAAAAAAAAATATAGTAACATTTTGCATTTAGGTTAAATATGAACTTTTTGACTGTATGAGTCAATATGCTCTATCCAGAACTCGTCAAGTGAAAAAGTTTTAGTTTCACTTAGCTTAATTTCTTGAAAATTCTTCTTTAAGGAACCATTGGATATCTGATTATCAATCGATTAATCGAAAAAATAATCATCAGATTCATCGATTTGCAAAATAATTGGTTGAAGAATAGAACATTGAAGAACAGTTTTCGTTGTGGCAAAAGACACATCAAGAGGTTGATATTCAAGGAAATTTGTTGGTTAATGAACGCATTCATTTATAATTTCATTACATTATGGAAGGCAATGTATTTTGTTGCTTTGTAAAAATAAAACAGCTTCGTTTTGTAATTGTTCAGACTGAAGTAGCTGTTATAAACATGTTTGTGTTACAAAGAATGTAGAACAAGATGAAAATTGATGGAAGGAAAGTATCTGTCACAGTGAGATCGGTCCTGGAAGCACGATCCGCACAATCGGCTTATTTGCGCATGCACATGCAGACATACATCCAGGTTGCCCTGTAATTTATTATGTAAAAAATACCTTAATTACGTTTTTCTCTCCCCAGGATAGTAGTCATTATTAAAATATAATGTTTTAAAGGTTAATAATGTACTTCCTGAGAAAACAAATGCCTTAAAAACCTTTCTGTTTCATCACTCGTCTCTGCCCGATCTGTACAGGTAATGGGAACCTAAGCTACTTCCAGCAAATTTTTTTGGCTTTGGATTTAAACATAAATCTAGTCTTTTTGAGATTTATGTTTTCCTTTCATGTTAACATTATGGTATATAGTACATATTCCAAAGAAAGAAATAACTAAAATTCACATAAACATGGTTTAATCTTGTTTTGCATGTCCGATGGTGACGTCAAACAAGCAGTTTTACAGAGAAAATGTAAAAAGCATCAAACTTGTCTCAAAAAAAAAAAGCCATAAAACATTTTTTTTAAAATATGTGTATTAGCATTCTTTAATGAGTTAAGGATTGAAATAGGTCATTTTAGTACCATAATAACATTCTATATAGAAACCCGGATGTATATCCGGTTGCGTATGCCCAAATGAGCTGATGGTACTGATCGTGCTCCAAGACGGATCGGGTAGTGACAGTATCGATGCATTATTTTTATATTGTGTCATACACTAACCCTCTTAACCTGAAACCAAAATCAAGGCCAGAATCTGCACATACCTAGAACAAGACTTTGAGGGAGGGGGATGACAAGGCTTAGGTCAAACTGGAGGAAGACCAAGTCCAAGACAAAGACCAACCAATGAGAGACATAAATCTCGTTGTGGGTGATATTTGTATTACTCTCTACCCGCAAATTTACTTGTTTTGGTCATAAGCATATGACAGGCATATTCATAAGGGGAAACCATAATTTTTTCTGGTCCTACATTATTAATTAGGTTTTACCTCTGTAAAAGCTGCCTACTCTCCGAGGCATGGACTCAGTGAAGATCATCCGGTTGTCCTTGGATGAACCTGCATCCTCACCATGAGGGTCGTGATACATACTGACCTAAGAGACAAATACAGACAATACAGAGAAACAGACACACATAGTTCTTAAGTTTCTGATTTATATTCGATTATCTTTCAATATCATCTTTACTAGCACAGATCACAAGACAATCAGGACAACTTTAGAGCTTCTCAGTGAGGTTACATTTATAACAGCGACAACGTGCAATGAAGCTGTTGGGGAAAAAAGGCTATGAGGCCTAGCAGTGAGAAGAACTATTTGGAGGTAGGGTGGAATCAGAGGGTCGGACCTCATTTTTAGTGCGCTGTGTATGAAAAGCAGCAGAGTTGTCCCTCGTAGAGTCTTTGATGGGGGCACAAGGGTGGCTCATGTCTTTAGGGGGCTGTTCGCTCTGTTGAGAAGACGGACAGGTGCTGGTCAAAGCCGACTGGGGAAGCAGAATGATGTAGAGGCAATGGCAATGAGACAGTGACAGTCCCTACACACACACATAGCAGCCTGTGCTGTGCACACAGAGACATATTGTGTAAGCTCTCAATTCAACCTAAAATAAAACCACAAGAAACAAAGACCTACATTAGGTTCTAATTATCTTTACATGTTATTTTAGATGTTTTTTTAAACATAAGTCTGTGAAACTTTCTGGTTGTATCATTGACTTCAAATGTGAGTTGACATTAACAAAAATAGTGTTGGTATTTTACCATATGATCTTTAAAGAGTGATGTGTTTCTGGCTTAGGAGCTTCTCCAGCATTGCCAACACTGGTAAAGAGGAGTAAAATGCCTTAGAACAACAACATAATTTCCTTTAGTATCACACTGTCACCAAACTCCCAGAAGACTGTAAAAATACATTTGTTAAGTGCCTTTGACTGCTGTTAACTGAGGTATCATAGTTCAACTTTCTTACTTGCTTTACATCCTGCTTTTATCTTTAGTTGCTTTTATTTCGCTTCTATTTTACTGTGTAATTCATGCAAAGAGGAGGGCATCATCTGTGCTGTTTCCATTGACAACTTCAGTTAAAGATAATAGAGCTGGCCCTATTTTTCAGTGTCTAGTATTGTTTCTTTCCTAGACACAGCCACATGGAGCAAGTTTAGCATTAAATTGTCGAACATGGAAAGTATTTAACGATCAGGGCTTCTATGTTGCTTTTGTGTGGCTACTGTCTACTATAACCACATACTCATCCAGGAGGAGTGATTCCTGAAGTGTCAATGACTTGATGCAATTAGTGGGGTTTCCTCAGATAGAAAACTCTTTGCTCTGTAAAGTGCTGTGAATTGGGAATTTAAATAATCTCAATTTAAATTGACTTTAAACATGGTAAACTATGCAATTACAATGAAAGATGACTGTTCAAGCATTTACCATATCTTTACCAGTGATGCCATTTAATCTTGAAATGATTAAGAGGATTTCACATGAATCTTCTTAAAATGTTGGTACTATAATTTCTGAGCAAAATACTCCTGCTTTGCACCATAACCCATACTGAACTTGCTGCTCACTAACCCTTGTCATCTCATCAGTACAGTCCTCTCTGGAAGAGCTCACAGAATGTCCAGTCAGGTTGGTACGATGCTGCAGCTGTGGGGAGAGGAGCTGGAGGCTACTGGCCCGTGTCGGTATCGCTTGTCCAGGGGGAGGCAAGCCCGCCATGACCCCCTCAGACCCATGAGTTCGGTGACGTTCCCGCCTCACGTACATGGAGTGGCGCTGAGGCCGTTGCTGGGAGGAAAAGGGGGAAGTATAGCCCAGGCCATAATGGTAAGACTCGTGGGGGGAGGGAAGAGTATGTGTGTTGGGCATTGCTGGTCCTCCTGGGTCTAGGAGCTCTGGAGCAACGGCATCTTCTGGAGAATAAAGGAGATTTGGCATTGTCATGCTCTGTGGGTAAAGAACTGGCTTTTGGTTTCGAGTTTTCTTGTGTTATATTCCATGTAAATATCATAGCAGACCAAAATGATTTTAAACTATAACAACAAAAATATTCAATGGAAGAAAAGCGTATTTCTTTTTTTAATCAAACTTACCTGGGGCTAACGATTTGTGTCTGGATTTGTGTCTCGATGAAGAGTCCAGCGTGCTGCTTTCCATACGGACATTCCCGCTGCTACGTGAAACAGGGCTGTGTCCTGATCGGTCACTGTGTCGCGCAGAGGGGCTGCCAGGTGGTCCCGGAAGACCTGATGGGGCATTGAGGTCTAAGCAGCTGGCAGGGAAGAAGCGGGCACTGGGTCCTACAACAGCTGCTGTGTTGGAGTTTGGATCATCTGGGTGAAGTCGGCCATCATTGAGGGTCCCCACAGATTTTGCATCACTAAGAGCCCCGTGGCTCTTGGAGAGGCTCAGATAAGACGCTGAGCTTTTAGAGGACGAGGACATGGATCCGTGTGCAGAATCGGCCATACTGTGAGCGTGGCGGCCATGTTGCTTTTCTCCTCCTGATTGTAAGGTGTTGGTTTTATTTTCCAGGAAGGTGTGGCGACTTGCCTGCTGCTGCTGTTGCTGCTGCTGCTGTTGCTGTTGTTGCTGCTGCTGCAGCTGCTGTTGCTGGAGCTGCTGTTGCTGCAGCTGCTGTTGCTGCAGCTGCTGCTGCTGCAGCTGCTGCTGTTGCTGAGAGCGAGACGAGCTTGGTTTACTGTGGCTGTACTTCGCCCCATGTCCCTGATCTGGCAGCTTTGTTGTCGGCCCCAAGTTGAAGTCAAACTCTGTCTTGTTTTTGGTCTCTTTGGGACTCAGAAGGTGTGGCAGGTTGTTGTTGGCCAGATCTTTGCTGGAAGAGGCAGAACGGTTTAATGTCTGGGACATGTACTGTACTTTGGGGTGGAGCGTAGGACTTAGACTAGATGGAGCTGGTTTGTTTCCATTCAAGAAACTTTCATTGCTGAGGTGATGTAGGTCTCCATGTCGAGGGAGGCTGGAACACTCCTTGCTGGTTGATCGGCGACTTGAGCTTTTGCTGTGACTTCTGAAGAGTCAGAGAAATAAGTTAAATAGTAATTGTATCTTAGTAATAGTAATCTTTGTATCAAATCCTCAAATCCTTTTTACTCAACTTTTTCACTCCACCGCCACATCCCAGTGACAGTAGCACGAAACATCGTTATTGGCTGTCCTAAAAGGTGCTAAAAGGCACCACATGATGTCATCAACAATTTGCATAATGTCATCCAGGATGAAGATGCAGGAGGAGAGCTCCTCAGATTGTTTTTTATTTTATTGTTGCTGTCTCTCAAAGAAATACAGAGATATTGGGATTAGTTTAAAGGGAAAAGACGTGGGGATTTTAAAAGTCGTACATTTTATAGAAACAAGTAAAGAAAATCCATAGTTTTCAGCCATTTAGTTCCATACTATATACCAGTTGGTGATTAATATTTATCTTATCAGTTACTTTGTTCTTCTTACTGTCACTTGCTTCTTTTCCCTTTTTTTCTGCTGCGCTACTCATTTGCCTTAAAATTTTCCCTCGATGATAAATACAGTTGTTGAATTTAATTGTCCCTTTTGTTGTTGAGAAAAAAAATGAATGACTGAAGCACAAACAAATTAAATGGAATTCATTCATTATCAGAGTTACAATAGATTAAGCTTAAATGAAAGACCAAAATAAATGAAAATGAAAGATCCAAAAAAGAAATTTCTAACTTTAAAAGCAGTTTTAAGTGTAATTTTAAACTACAATTTAGAAAACACAACATTTTTGAACCCCACTTGACAAACACTGTAAGACATATTGCTATTTAAATCAAAGTTAGTTGTAGTTAACCATAGTCAACATGTGTCTATTGAAACAGTGTTATATCATCATAATATATTTATTCTTTGGGCTAAAATGTCTAATTTGTTTTTATTTTATTTTGTTATATAACTTTTTTTATTCTAGAATTGATCAGTAGTTCCAGAATTACAGGCAGCATTAATTATTTCATTACGATATACACTGCCTGGCCAAAAAAAAAGTTGCCACCTGGATTCAACTAAGCAAATAGGTACGATCCTCCTATTGGATAATTATTGCATGGGCGATTATCTTTTAGCTGGCAACAAGTTATTTAACCCCAACTGGTGCAATGACTTGCTTCTCATTTTCTAAACAACCATGTTGAAAGACACATCCTGTGGTCCTGGAAAAGATGTTAGTCTGTTTGAGAAGGGTCAAATCATTGGCATGCATCAAGCAGAGAAAACATCTAAAGAGATTGCAGAAACTACTAAAATTGGGTTAAGAACTGTCCAACGCAATATTAAAAACTGGAAGGATAGTGGGGACCCATCATCTTCAAGGAAGAAATGTGGCCGGAAAAAAATCCTGAATGATCGTGATCGGCGATCACTTAAAAACAACAGTAGAAGTCAGGGCTGTTTAATACTGAAAGTAAGAGCATTTCCACACTCACAATGCGAAGGGAACTCAAGGGATTGGAACTGAACAGCTGTGTAGCCATAAGAAAACCACTAATCAGTGAGGCTAAACGGAAAAAAAGGCTTCAATTTGCTAGGGAGCATAAAAATTGGACTGTGGAGCAACGGAAGAAGGTCATGTGGTCTGATGAGTCCAGATTTACCCTGTTCCAGAGTGATGGGCAAATCAGGGTAAGAAGAGAGGCAGGTGAAGTGATGCACCTACCATGCCTAGTGCCTACTGTACAAGCCTGTGGGGGCGGTGTTATGATCTGGGGTTGCTGCAGTTGGTCAGATCTAGGTTCAGCAACAGTATGTACTCGAAGAATGAGGTCAACTGACTACCTGAATATACTGAATGACCAGGTTATTCCATCAATAGACTTTTTCTTCCCTCATGGCACAGGCATATTCCAAGATGACAATGCCAGGATTGATCGGGCTCAAATTGTGAAAGACTGGTTCAGGGGGCATGACACATCATTTTCAGACATGGATTGGCCACCACAGAGTCCAGACCTCAACCCCATTGAGAATCTTTGGGATGTGCTAGAGAGGGCTTTGCGCAGCGGTCAGACTCTACCATCATCAATGCAAGATCTTGGTGAAAAATTAATGCAACACTGGATGGAAATAAATCTTTTGACATTGCAGAAGCTTATCAAAACAATGCCACAGCGGTCCAATAAAGTATTAGAGTAAGTGACCTTTTTTTTTGGTGGCGACTTTTTTTTGGCCAGGCAGTGTATGTAAGCTATGACACACTTGTCTACCTTCTACTATAACAAAAAGTTAAAGCCAGACAGCCATGTGTTGAGCTTTATAGTTGGAAAATTTCAGATCTACAGTCAAGGCAATAAACAAGTATTTCAAAACAACAGGAGTGACAAATCAAAAAGTTTGAACAAGAAGTAAATTAATCTTGCCACCGGAAGCAGGGAGGAGGAAGGACAAAAAAAAAAAAAGGTGGTCACTAAGTCTTTATTGCATCAAGTGTTTTATAAGTATCACACAGTTTTAGCTGAGCTGGCAGTACTAATGGCTTTAGATTTTTAAAACTTTTTCTCCATAGATAATCGGATAGTTTTCAATCATTCTGAAAGCAGGCTTAAGTTTAGAATGGATATTGTATTTTGTTTTTCAGTTTGTGATTAAGAAATACAAATAAATTAGTGTTTAGGTTGCTTCCAAGAGCTGTTATTTTGTTATTATATGATTTTGTGTCATCAAAAAAACAAAACAAAAGAAAAAACAAATAAGCAGTAGGTTGAGAAATACACCCCAGATGTTTGCATGCAGAATTGATAGCCTCTATATAGGGGATGCCCAGTCTACCCCTGCTCCGCCATGCTGCCCTATTTCCAACAGATTTAACCAGATGTTGTATGCTCAGTTATTCAGAATAACTCGAGATTTAAAACTGCAACAGTTTAATATAACTAAAACTGTTTCCACCATCCAGTTTATAGTCATTCCAAAAAAAAAGAAAATTAAAACCAATCCACTGGATTTTGTTTCCAGAGGTTTGAAGACGTTTCGCTTCCCATCCAGGAAGCTTTTTCAATTCAAAATGTCAGGAATAGCGCTATTCCTTGATACATTTATAACTTAAAAGAGTATGATACTGCAAAGTACAATATTTTTAGGAAATCATTAAGTTTGTAAAAAGGATTGTAAATGAAAGTAAAAAGGGCAGAGGTCAAACCTTGTTGGAACTGTGTTCTCTCCATGGTGGTGCGTTTTTCTCTTGGACGAGCGTGGTGGGTTGGGAGATGCAGGAGAAGATTTTTCTCGGTCTGCCTGCCTCAGAGGCTGGAAAGCTGGATGGTTCAAACACTGCTCGGTAAGAAAACGCTCAGTAGGATTCAGCAGCAACATGCTCTGATAGGAAAACCCAAGCACATGAAAAAATCTCATTTAAAAGACCTCCAACAAGTATGCAAGAAGAACATTTAAATGTTTCCGCTTCATTTACCTTCATCAAATCCAACATTAAACCACTCATAATTCCTTGGTAGCGTCTCTCCAAAGTCTGAGGATGGGTAACTGTGGGAAACTGGCACAGAAACAAACACTGGATAAAACTTTCATCCTCGGTAGGGATTGTTTCGGTTTTTTTTTTGGACTCATATCAAGCAATACAACAAAAAGTTAATGTTCCTGCCTGTAAAAAATAAAAAGTAACTCTCAGTTCAGATGACACAGATCACACTAAACTACTGAGCTCGCGCACACATTCACAAACGCAAGCTTTTCTCAGCCTTCTGGGACATCTTCTCTTGCTGTTAAGCTGAACACCAACCACCTATCTCATGAGTCATAGCAATCCTCTCAGTCATGGTGCTGGGAACACTGCCACAAAATGAAATGGATAGAAAGAATGGGCAGGAGAGAAAAGGAAGAGAGGAAAAAGTGGAGAGAAAATAATAAAAAAACAAGGTAATATAAAAGAAAGAGGGGGGCTCTTCATGTTTCCTACCCTGATTCCATGAAATCGCGGGTTGTTGTAAAAGAGTTTCATCTGTTCAGCAGGAAGAGGCCCCAAAACCTTCTGGATGGTGAAGAGCTGAAAGTAGAAACATCAGTAAATCGAGAAAACTGAGATGAACTGAGGTGTGAAAATATGATTTTCTTTCTTGCTTTCGTAGCAGAAATGTATGGAGCTCTCTCTTTTTACTTGGAGGTAGGATTTTTCAGGTTTTTCAGGTTGAAGTTATGGCTGGGAAAAATTGTGCTTACCCTAAGTTTTAAAATATGGCTGCAGTACATGTAGTAAAAGTGGACTACATAGATAGTTTTTATATCATTCTGACCTTATGTGTCTCTTTAAACCAGTGTGGCACATACAACTGAGGAATGACCTTTAAAAATCTAAGAAAAACTGTAAACATATAATGCATTTTATGTGAGCTTGTTGACCTGTTGACCAGAGACCTGTTAAACGTTAGCATAAGGACGGGGAGTGGCCGCCTAGTAGTTAGGGCATAGAGCTTGGAATCTTGAGGTTCTGAGTTCGAGCCCCACTGCCACAGACTGCCATTCTGGCTCTATGAGCAAGACCCTTAACCCCACACTGCTCCCTGGGCAGCCCACTATGGCAGCCCACTGCTCCCCAAAGGGATGGGTTAAACGCAAAGAGTGAATTTCTCCAATGTGAGATCAATAAAGTTCAATTATTATTTTATTTTAAAATGATGACAAGACTTTATGTTAACACTGATCTAGTTGGCTGTTTATTTCTCTTTGCTCTTGTTTCACCCCTGTTTTTTTTGGGTGCCCTAAGCTGCTGCATAGATTCCTTGTGCCCTGGGCTGGCTCTGCTGCAGAGTCGTTATGTTCTCTGCCTGTCTGAAAAGTTGCTTTATGGCTTTACATCACGGTATGTGTGCAGGATGGGATGAGTGCATCTAAAAACAATAGAAGAATAAAACAATGAGGCTCAAAGGAAACTACAGCATTGGTCATTATTAAAGTTTTACATTTTGCTTTTAACCTTGCTTTTTGACACCTAAATTATTTTTCTTAACATTAAAGGTTGAAAAAATAAGATCTTTCAGAGAAAAATAAGTTTAAAAATGCTTTGAAAAAAAAAAAGGAAAAATAAACTTTCTTTTGCTCACCTGGAAAGTTTTAGGGCCTTTAGATAAAAAGTTTTCTTATTTAAAAAATACTAAATTTATGTTAAAAATCATGATCTTTTCAGATCTAGAACACAGTACAGCAATACCAACCTGATCAATTTCGCTTTCCCCTGGAAACAAGGGCTGTCCATCACTCAGCTCCCCCAAGATACACCCCACTGACCACATGTCCACAGCCTTCCCATAGGGAGCCCTGAAAAGGTTGGAAACGGTAACTATGATCACTTTTTAATGCAAAACTATCAATTCAAAGAAATAATATCATTAAACAACAAGTGAACCTTACTAAGTAGATGGTGTTGTGATCATGACATCAATAGAGGGTAAAAAAGAGATACAATGACAATAGAATGAGTGAGTGATGTAAGACAATACATCTTGTTGCCCCTTAAAAGATTTTTTTTGAGGCAGTGGAAATGTTCAGGGTCTGGTTAGGAATGGTGAGAGTTCTGGCAGCGGAGGAGAAAGGGAGCGCTGGTGTTGGTGGGAGAGAGTATTGAGTGGGAGGCATTCAAACACTGTCTCAGTAAATGTTCCAGGGCATTTGCTAAATCAAGCCACAGCAGTGCGGATAGATGACGCTCATCCATCTCCAAGCTCGGATGGACACTGGATGCAGCAAAATCACCACAACAAATTAACTGTATTAAAAACAAGGAGAAAACCAGACCTCAAAATACATTAAGTTTATTAATGAGCTAGGCTTATCTTTAAGTGCAGCTCATAATTTATCACTAGCTTTGCTCAGTAATCTGAGCATATGGCAGTGCCAGTTGATTATCAATGATTTAAGAAACGAGGTACAGTTGATATGTCCTACAGTGAGTGGATTGAGATCACTAAGATATGATCCTTGCCTTTTAAAATGCATCCAGAGTTTAATTTTATCATCACACTAAAAGTTACAGCAAAAATCGTGAACTTATCGATTTGCCTCTCACCCAGATATATTTCTTTGTTTATTTCTGCAAAATGTGAATATTTTGGCTTACAACTAATGAAAATGCCAGATTTAGTTTTTCAGAAAATTTGACTTTTAAATTGGAACGATGGGGTATGATTTTTTATTTTAAAAAAGCTGAGATGCTATCTGTACTTGCTATCTTTTGGTTCATATGTTCTTTCAAAAATGTATATGTAAATGGCCCATTTCTTCAACCATGTGAAAAGCAAATAATGATTCTGGAGACAGGTATGGAGATCTATGAACAGATCTTTAAGTCTTTAATATTTTCCGTCAATGCACATTATGTGTGACCCTGATAGTAATATTATTATTACTAAAATAATTATTACCATGTTTTATTTATGTGTTTCATTTTATTTGTATGTTGCATTTTTAGCTCCAGACAACCACATGCTCAAAGGGAAGGAATTGTTATTTCTAGCACTTCTGCATAGACATTTAACCTTGTCTGTGCTGCTGATTTCTTTTTTTTGTGGAAATTTAATGGAAAATTGACCTTCATTAAGATTAAAGCAGCTGTTTTCTTGGAGAAAAGCTTGCAGAATATAAGTCTTCAACTACAGTCCAAGTAAAAATACCTATAATGATATTATGCAGTTGATGTTTGAAAAAACAAAGACAAAACGAAAAACCAATGAACTATCACTTCCCGATTAACAGCCCAAATGCTCATTTACCCCAGCAGCAGCTCAGGTGAGCGGTACCACCTTGTCGCCACATACTCAGTGTAGTTGGCATCTGTTCCTTCAGAGAGGTTACGGGCAAAGCCTGAGCCAGAGGAGGAAAGAAGTTCTTATGTCAAGTATGCTTTATTTATAGGCAGCAATGCATAAATAACAAATATACCAGGACAGGATATTCAGCTTCTCAATTCTTGACAGCTACAGTGACAGGATGGTAATACTTGCCATGTGACCAAACTAATTAGTGATGTGACTGCAGGAAATCTGAGATATCACTTTGGATCATTTGTGTAGAGAGAGTCCATTTTAAGCATGGGAAAGTCACAGTAAACAGAATGCCAGCTCCAACAGAGAATACCAACAAATCCATCCAGCTCACTGAGTAAAAAGGCAGTAGCCAATTATTTAGAGCCAACGGACCATGTCATTTTGCAAAATGCATTCACATATATTATAGACACCAGGAATAGCATGAATGGTTAAATCCATGAACTACTGGTATGTTGCATTAATGTGTTTGGCAGATAAGGAAGGTTTGTCTTACTAACATAAATTTGGTTTGACAGGGGTTTGGCTGAGCATCCAATAAAAGCCAGCAGGGTACTTTTTTGTTGCAGATTACATTTCTGGTATAAATAGTTTAAAATTGATTTTCTTATAAAAGAGTTTGAATGAAAATAATTTATTTCTAAATCAAATGTTAAGAGACACAGTCTGTCACATTATATTCCATTAGATATATGAGAAATACAAATAATTAATATCACACTTGATAATAACAAGGTTGCTAGCTTATACGCCACAGAAAATAAAGAATTTAAAACAAATACTCACCAAAGTCACAAAGTTTAAGAACATCATCAGAACTGATGAGAAGGTTCTCTGGTTTGATATCTAAAAGAGAAAGGTTTAAAATGAAAACTGAACCTCTAAGCTGATATTCAGTTAATATAAAATTATTATAAGCATTACTATATGTATATACATAAAATCCTTTCCAAATCGAATTTACTAATGAAAATGTGTATAAAAAAAACTTAAAAAGGACTCAGGAGCAATAGTAATAATGTATTTCAGTAAAAGTTACAGTGAAAACAGAACAGGGGAAAAGAAAAGCAAACTTTTCAAAGAGAAGTCTTTGTAAGGGCTACAAAAAAACTTAATAAAACAGAAGGTAGTAATAGCTTAGCTGCATTTGTCTTTCAGAACAGGAGGAGTTACTACTGAGGGGCCCAAAGCATCATGTCTGTTTTTTTTCTTTTAAATATACTGGATTTGATTTTTTTAAAGACTAGAAATAAACCAATCTGAATATGTAGATTTCATCAAAAATTACAAAGAATCCATGAACCAGTCTGAATCTATTTGTCTTAATGTACCCTGGGTCCTGGTTGTATATTTGGCTCTACCTCAAGTGTAAATAAGTAATGTCAACATGAGTTGAACTAACGCAGGCAAGGTACACATGGAATGTTTTACAACAATGATCTAAATGCTTAAAAAGAAGGAATTGGAGTAGGGAAGCAAAAAAACAAAAAAATCTAAGATGAACACTTACCTCTGTGTACAATTTCATTCTTGTGACACCAGTTGATGGCTTTGATGAGCTGAAAAATGTAGCTGCGGACCTTTTCAGGTGGGGCGCCATTGGGGAATTCCTCCAGCAGTTCAAGCATATTCTGAAAAAGCAAAACAACATCATGAAACAGACACTAAACCAGCATCCATCCATCCATCGATTAGTTTGTCCGTCTGTCCATCCATCCATCCATCCATCCATTAGTTTGTCCGTCTGTCCATCCATCCATCCATCCATCCATCCATCCCTCCATCCATCCATCCGTTTGTCCATCTGTCCATCCATCCATCCATCCATCCATCCCTCCATCCATCCATCCGTTTGTCCGTCTGTCCATCCATCTATCCATCCATCAGTTTGTCCATCCATCCATCCATCCATCCATCCATCCAACCATCCATCCATCTATCCATCCATCAGTTTGTCCATCCATCCATCCATCCATCCATCCATCCATCCATCCATCCATCCATCCATCCATCCATCCAACCATCCATCCATCCATTAGTTTGTCCGTCTGTCCATTCATCCATCCATCCATCCATCCATCCATCCATCCATCCATCCATCCATCCATCCATCCATCCAACCATCCATCCATCCATCCATTAGTTTGTCCAACCATCCATCCATCCATCCATTAGTTGGTCCGTCTGTCCATCCATCCATCCATCAGTTTGTCCATCCATCCATCCATCCATCCATCCATTAGTTTGTCCATCCGTCCGTCCGTCCGTCCGTCCATCCATCCATCCATTAGTTCGTCCATCCATCCATCCATCCATCCATCCATCCATCCATCCATCCATCCATCCATCCATCCATACATCCATTAGTTCGTACATCTGTCCATCCATCCATCAGTTTGTCCGTCTATCCATATGTCCATCCATCTGTCCATCAATCTGTCCATCCATCCATCCATCCATCCATCCAACCATCCATCCATCCATCCATTAGTTTGTCCATCCATCCATCCATCCATCCATCCATCCATCCATCCATCAGTTTGTCCATCCATCCATCCGTCCGTCCGTCCGTCCGTCCGTCCGTCCGTCCGTCCATCCATCCATTAGTTCGTCCATCCATCCGTTCGTCCATCCATCCATCCATCCATCCATACATCCATTAGTTTGTACATCTGTCCATCCATCCATCAGTTCGTCCGTCTATCCATATGTCCATCCATCTGTCCATCAATCTGTCCAATGTTTGGATACCCTGGCAACAGACTGGGAAATACCATCACTTACTATCAGTGCAGTTTGTTGCCATGGTGACATGCTTTTTCATGCTTAACTGAAGAGTCAACATACTAGAGCTATAGGGTAGACTAGATGAAGAAGCATGAAGCAGTGCTGTGTGCACAAATTGCCAGCTTGATGACACAAGTATGGCAGCAATATTAGGCTGACCCTCTCAACATATTCAAAGACGAGGTAGAGTTTCCCCCTCCTCCGAAAAGCCTCTTTGAGCTCAACAATGTTGTCCTGCTTCAGGGTTCGGAGCATCTTCAGCTCCCGAAGGGTCGTCTCCTTAACCTCCTCATTTTCTGCACAGATATTTAAAGACAAATACATTTTTGCAGTTTTACAGTCTCTCCTCAGATTTGGCCATCTTTTTGTAGGCGCACTTACCTTCACTGTCCTTGAACTTCTTGATGGCCACCAGCTCATTGGTTTCCTGTAAAGAACAAGGCACAGCTGTTCAAAAAGGGAATGTAGCTGATATATTTTTACTGGAAGTAAAGAGGTAGAATGTAAAAAAAATGAAATGCTGGTTCATTCAGTTTTTAGAAATCTTGATAGAGCTCTACAGTAAGGATGAGAAACTTGAGAAAAAATAGTAAACACAACCCCAGAATAGTGTTTTCACACAGAGACATACCAACACACAATTCTCATTGTGAACATTCAATTTATTATGTTTTGAAGGCTAAAATTGTATTTGTGTATTTCTTTCTGTCTCAAACCAAAACAAACAAACAAAAAAGTGGGAGGTCTACATACAAATGAGATTTCATTTCAGCATCTTGAAAGATGGAATCCATTTACCCAATGAAAACAATGGAAATTAAAGTAATTAGTTTGAACCCAACACCCAAGTCCAACCATGGGTAACACCCAAAATCAGTATCTATCGGCATAACAGAGTCATTAATCTTATGAAATACAATCACTAGATTGGTTGTTTGTTGAAATAATGATGAAACGGTAAACAATGATGTCAAAAAACAGAGTTTCACTGAGACGGAAACATATTTAGAGATTATTTTTTTATACTATTTTCCTAACAAAAAGAAATTTTACAATGATTTGTTGTTTTTCCTTAAGTACTATCCGTAGAAGTCCTAATATTATTTATATTTTTATAGCCATATTACGACTCCCATGTAAGTTCTGTGTGGGTTTTTCTGGAATTTTCTGGTCATCATAAAGGCTTTCATTTATTGTCACAGGCGATACCTCTCTGTGCCAATTTGCTGAACTCACTGAAGTCCCTTTATACTACTCTTACAGGAGTTTCTTTGACATGCAGGGTTTAATTACTCCCAATATCTGAGTTGCATTTTGTGAGCTCATAAACATCATCACCTACAGCAGGGGAGCCCATCTCCAGTCTTAAAAAGCTACAAACCTTTTACAAGGCTTTTGCTGAGCTTAACGACATGCTGAGGAAATTCAGACATAGGATTCAGGTGTGTTGAAAAATAGAGGCCTCTAAAAGTTGCAGGATTGTAGCTCTAAAAGACTGTAGAAGGGCACCCCTAACCTGCAGGTTCTACGCATGTACAAAGGGTCTGGGGAAAACTAAAGGCTACTAAACGTTTAATCAGGTTAGTGAAAATGATATTTACGGTAGTAACATTTTGCTTATTTTGATTTCCAGCAACTGTAAATTAAAAGTCTGTTTCTTCATCCTTAAGTGGTATGCTAAGGCTTGACCAAAAATACCCACCAGCAAAGCAAACCAAGTTAAAGCTGAAGTAAAGAAATGCCTAGCAATAAAGCAAAGAAGGTATATCATACCTGTCATAATACTGTTAATACAAGTTATTCTTTGTTTTTGTTTTTACAACTTCCGCTGACTGGTACACTTGCACCATTTTGATTATTGAAGCCTCTGCAAATAATTTTTTTATTTTTGTTAATCATGCAAATTAGCACACATCAATGAAGACCTACTGGGAAAGCTATGCTATAATTCATGTTAGATTTATTGTTATTGATGTTATGCATTAGATGTTAGGTAAGAGGGTACTAATTTAACCAGTCTATATATATTTTTTTTCAATATTTTTTTCTCTTCTCATAGAAAAGAGAAATAAATCCTTGTTAGTTAAAACAGAATACAATAGAACAGATATTCTCTATTAAAATGTGTTTTGTTTAAGTGAGGTTCAAAAGGTCTAACAGCTGCTTGGAGGAAGGAACTGTGGTAACAGATTGTGCACCTAGGATGCAGCAGTGTGTCAGAGAAGGAGCCCTCCAGCTCTGCAGCAGCTTCAAGCACAGGGTGGGAGCCATTTTCCAAACAGTGATATTATTTTTAGCAGAGTCCTTCTGTCTCCAACCCCCAGGTCCAGGGGCCTTCCTAGGTTACCACTGGTCTTCCTGAGAAACTTATCAAACCAATTTCTCTCAGCTTTAAATAAGCAATCAATAAGAAAAAGAAGAGGAAAATAAATCATCTTCATCCAAGAGTGAATTTTCAATATACAGTATTGCAAATTTTTATTTTTCATTTTATTTCCTTGTATTCTATATGTAACACACCTTTAGAAAAAGAATATAAAAGGGGTGTTGTGATGCTTCTTTTATTCTATGACTATCAATTTTCAGTTAGTTACACTATATTGTTTTTAATAGATAACAGATAAAAATAAATGTTTGCAATCACAACACTCTTAGCCTAATATCCTCGAAAACGGTTTGGTTCCGTCATCTATAACCCTCAGGATGTAGCAATGAACACAGCGGACCGGAGGGGATTACATCATACCCCAAAGTGTCCTTGGCTGCTCTCATGTTTCTCAATTGTCCTTTTGTCTACAGCGGGTCAGACTCCACAGTCAGTCTCATTGCAGCGATAAAGCAAGGCATTGTGGTGCTGCCTGTCACTGCCAGCTCTCTTGCTTATATCAGCCAAGTGTTTTATGATGGTGTGAAATACAAACTTGTCAGTTAAGAATTGGATTCTCATCTGCAAATTAGGAAAAATAGCATTCTGGGCCCCATAAAGAATACATGACATTTTAAAATGTAGTATCACCATGTAGATTCAGCTAATGCTTGTCTTACATCTTTGATTTACCTTCTCAGCCACTGATAAGTCTGCAGGCTAAAGATAACCTTTAAGATTGTAACTGTCTGATGATATCAGCACTTAATATTAGTACTAATGGTTTAACAATTAAATGACATACTATTTGACGCTTAAGTTAAGGCCTAACTTTCCTATGCTTAGATTTATATGCCAGTAAATACAGTACCTTATGAAACATGGCCAAAGACAATTGTAAACAATTGCTAGTAATTAATTTGTCTTCTTACCCCCACAGAGCTAAACAGTGACACTGTATCTGCACCTTGAGACAGTCAACTGTGTAGGTTGTGATATTGTCACTCCTAAAGCACAAATTCAAGATAACACATAAGCCTCCATACAAACACCCACATATGCTAAACAACACTTGCATAAAGTGGCAGAACAAATCCTGGCACACATACGCTTGACTAATTAAAATGTTCCGTCAAACACACACTGCAGAGTAAAGTATATATAAATTACACGAGGAAGCCAATCTAAAATTAATTTACTTTCTTTGTTTTGATGTTAAAGCCTACTGTCTCTCCCTGATTGCTTTCTAACCTATATATTCAGTCTCAATATTCCCATTGTCATATACAGGTCTGCTTAGGACTTCTAACAGGGTGACCCATTTACATTACCAACACTGTTTAATACATCCCTCTGCATCACTTCCTTTGTCTCAAACACGCATGTACCCATTACTTCTTTCTCTCTCCTTTTGCCACCCTTTCTCTCCTGTCCTGCTTCCAGCTGAGAAAGTAAAAATAACTGCTCTCTTGCAGCAAAGCTAAAACCACCATTTATTGTCAGGGTCCTTGGCTCCCACGTGTAAAATTGAGTCTCTCACTTTGTTATATAAGTGGGAAACATGTCATGCGTCACATTATTGAGTCAAAGAGCCGAAAACGCACTTTAAGCTGGTTTTACTTTTAAAGCTGCTGGTTAATTTCTTTGGGGTTTTGTTGGAGAACAATATATAAATGGCATAATAAAATCCTAAATACTGTGACAATATACATAAAAGTAAGAACAATGTTAGCTTGTTAGGCTCTTTTGGGCTGTCCATTTGAGGAAAGGTTTTGTTGCTCGATTGCTCATTTCATTCACCTGTCTAGCTCTGCCCTGTTCCTCATCACTCATCATATCCACCTGTCCGGTTTCCTATTTAAGCTGCCTGTTTCTCAGCCATCAGAGCCAGATTATTCTTGAGCCTTTGCTTGTGAAAGTTTGCTTGTGTTACTTTAGGGTTCTGATTGTCGGATCCTGATCCGTTTCTGATTAGTTATTCTGATTAGTTTGCCTGCCTGTCTTCGGAGTCCTGTTGGATTCTTCTGTGGACTCTTCTGCTTTTTAAGTAATCCACTGTCTATCTTGACTAAATTCTAGGTCTTCCTTTCTGAGCTATTAAAATTTTAGTCATTTTTGTGTGGTACAGTAGACACAGAGGCAAGAGTATTACATTGACACCTGCTGTACTTATCCCTTAATGTTTGTTTAAACTTAATAGTAAAGCAAATCAATCTTGACCTGCGAATGACTGACCAAAAAAGTAACCCCATATGAAAGGAATCAGATGTGTTCCTTCTGAATCTTTCAACTTCCCTTATGTCTTCAGTATAACTACCTCCTCTTTTGGGAAATCCTATTAGTTCTGTTTATTTAATATCTTTGGAAATGTATAAAGTCAAATCTTGTATTCAAGTTTGCATTTATTTAGCCAGGTGCTGTAAACCTATCTCTAAAAATAAGTTTAAAAAAACTGAAGACTAATCAATTCCATCACTCATAATTCTTTCCTTCATAAAAGAGGCAATGACAAAGATTCAAAAAATAAAATCACAATAACGATAAAGACGTTTAGCAAATGTAAACAGGTAAAGGTTGGTACGCACAAACAATGCGTCGTAAGTTTATTTTTGTAAATTTGCATTCAAGCAGCAGGAGATTTTCCAGTTTCCTTTTCAAAATTTGAACATTTGAAAACAGAACATTTTTGGAAACGGAAAAAGAAACATACTGATGATAACGTATAACTGATAACATAAATTTACAATAAATTATTATCTGTCAGAAGAAACTTTAAGATACTATGAACTGCCAGAAAAAATGACAAAAACAACCCAAAAAATCAGGCCTGTCAAATAGAAAGAGAAGTATTTTGTTTTGTTTAATTGTTTGACTTTGTTTGCAAAGTCTTTGGAGTTTCCTATGTGATGTGGTGTGTTTCCCACCAGGGGAGCTAAAATATTAGTAAGCTGTTTAGTAATGTTGTATGTTACTGAGTCAGTGCTGCTGACACAGGGTCTGAGTGGTGTTCCTTTCTTGTGGATTTTAGGGAGTCCGTATAAGCATGGAATGTCTTCCCCTGG